GGCCCGCCGGCGGGAACTGCCAGGCCTTTGACCGGGACGGACGGCGGGGTGGCGGGTGGCGGGTGGCGGCTGCAGGGTGTGGCCCAGGTGAAAGCGATGGCCAATTAACGAACTGCAGCCCCTGGAAAACAGATCCAGAGCCTACCCGAGCTTGGGAGCACCTTTCGTTTAGCGCCCACGGGGGTTGCCAGGGTGGGCGCTGAGGAGGGAGAAGATGACGAGATGGCGTCGACGGCGCTCCCCGGGCGCGGGGCAAGGCCACTGCTCGGCCAGGGCAGTGGGCGCACGGTGGCCCGAAAGGTCACCGGCCCGGGCCGTGTCCTGCGGCCCGTTGGGGCGCCCCCAGCCGCGTCCCGCCCCGGGCCCTGCTCCCCCACTTTCCCCGGTGCCCCGGCGCGAGGACCCGGGGACCGGGGAGCGAGTGTGGGAGCAGAAGCGACGCAGCCAACGGCTGCGCGCCGCACCTCCGGGCCGGTCTGGGCCGCGGGCAAGCCGGGGAGCCTTTCGAAATGCGCGGGGCGGCGGGTCATTGGAGCTCGGCGGGAGTGGGAGCGGGCCGCCGCCCCGGAGGGTCCCTGCCTCCGAAAGGCTCTGCCTCCCCTCCGTCCCCGCCGAGCTCGGGAGGAGCGGAGCCCCGGGGCCGAGCGTTCGACGGTGGAGCGCGGGGGCTGGGCGCTCGCTTCTCTCGGGCGCCCGGGTGCGAGATGGCGAGCCAGCAGTCGCTGCGGCACCGGGCAGCCGCGCCGGCGGAGGAGCCAGGCGGGCTGGCCTTTCGTCCCCGAGGCGACCCCAGGTCGACGCTGCAAGAGGCGGTGGTGCCGCGCAGTTTGGAGAGCTGGTGGCGCGATGGCCCCGGGCTTGGGCAAAGGGTGACTGGCGCCCGCGGCGAGGCCCCCACCCCCGGCCCCCACCCACCCCGGAATCCTGAAGTCCGGTCTGGGGGGGGCGAGGACACCTCGAATGGCGGGGACGCCTCTGGGGGCTTGACACCGACGTGTAAAGGACGGAGGACCCGGTGACTGGGGGGCTTCGTTCCTGTAAACGTGCCCGACGCGAGAGCATCCACTTCTTCCTGGCCCTGCGCTCAGAAAACGCAAGCTCTGAAACTTCACACGAAACAGGCCTCTTTAGGAAAGGAAAATGGGGTCCGGGCAGCAAAGAAGAGGCTATCCACCCACCCACCCCCGCCTTGTTCGATGCCCTTTTTCTCAAGTACCATCCTTCGCAGAGAAACCTTCATCTCACTGTTTTTCCTGACCCCTCGGCTCCCTTCCTCCCCAAATCTGACTGGTTTTTCTTGCTTTCTCAGGTTTTCTGACAAACCCTGCATGTGTACTTAGAACAGAATCACAAAAACACCTTTAATCGTTAATTAAAATAATACCTACTTGAAAGAGAGGGGACCCAGCCACCAAAGAACCTACTTTTCTCTGCCCAGCAGCCGAAGGCAAAGCCTGCTTTAAAAAAAAATCGGGTCAAATATGTACAAATTGTCTTTTCAGGGCCCCTTTTAGGGCACAGTAGTGGAAATAAATATTTGAGGGAATAATTTAACCCAAAGTCAGATTTTCACAATTCACCCACTGATATATTCCCAGAATAAGGAATTTTCTTTTATACCTTTGTTAACTTTTTGAAGAGAATTTGGACTTAAAGCAATCATTTTAGCCAACCCGACTCTTAGATGCCTTAATTTTTAAAATTTAAATAATATTGGTATCTTTCTAAAATGCCAATACAGGGACCCAAGACCCCTAAAATTGCTGTTTAGGTTTCAGATGTGTAGGTTCTAACCTGTATATTTTGAAATGAAAGAAACTACATGACAACAGTTTGATTTGAAGGATACCTAAATTAGCTTGGGACTACACCCGCATATTGGCCTGAACTATTGCTAAAATTCCTCACACCACGTAGTGTGTGTAAATACAGATTTCAGAGAAGTGCCCATGTTACTTTCATTTTCAGTCCTGCAAATGTTACTAGATGATACTTACATAAGGACTTTTTATTGTGCCACATACTTGTCCTAGGTGACACAAATATGAACAGATGCCCTAGAGACATTGCTACGTAACTTACAGGAAAATGTAGCCTTTCTACCTTTTACTCTTCTAAACTCTTATACACCATACAGTGTTAAGTGAGAAACTGTCTACATTCAGACCCACAAAAATATTGAGTGGGGGGCCCAAATTATTCAGACACTTGTCAGTTCACATTATGTATGTGTAAATAGGACTAGAGTAATAGGTTATTCAAGCACAATAGAGTTCAACTCAATCAATAGCTATGGAAGTTTTCTTTATTGATTGCTTGATGTGTAACAATAAGCATTTTTTCACACATCACAAAAAATTATACTTGGCTCAGTATGCAATCTTTTAAGCATAGCCATATTATTAACAGGACAGAGAAAGGGAAAGAGAGGAAAAAAAAAAACTAGTCTACCCAATAAAGCATTTACAAATGCACAAACATGCCATTTTGGCGTGTATTTTGTCTAGATTAAAAAAAAATCTTTAACATAAATAAGTTAGTATAATTTTTCAGTGTCTTTACAGAGTTATGTACACAGGTACACTTCAAATGGTTGTTTCATACATACACAGGCAATGTAGAAATACTGTTTAAAGATGTAGTATCCATTTCACTTTTTCCACCAATGTGCTTTCTCCACACAATTTCCTGTCAAAACACCACTTTCTGGTGGGTAAATTAACAAATAGAATGAAAAGCTGAAAATTTTAAATTATTTCATTTTATGTGGTGCTACTTACAGATCTATAAAAACAACCAGGAATTTAGTATTATTTTCACTGTCCACATAGCACAAAGCGAAAAGGAAATTAAGAAAAAAATTTTTTTTAAAATTTAAAAATGTAAATGGCCAATTCTGACCACTCAGAACATTTCCCCTACATCCCAGATTTTTGTCCAGAATTACTTGGAGTGATTACCTAGCTGCGGAATAACTGACTGCTAAATTCCAAATTTAAGGTGTTGTGGGAGACACTGAGAGGGGCTAATTTGTATTGTTTTTAAGCCATTTACCGCTACATAACGGAATGATCAGAGCTCCCAAATGAGAATAAGCTTCATGTAAAAACAATTATTTGTAGGCAGTGTTCAAATTTTGGTGACTTTTAAAATGAAGTGTGAGTTCTCACTGAAAGGAACATTACATCTTTAAAGAAAGTAATTCCAACCCTTCCCCAAAACTGCTCCTCTTCAAGCAGGTCAAATAGACTTTTTAATTCTGGCTATAAGCTGAAGCAAACGCTTCAGACCCCCACCCTACCCTCCCTTCCCCAAGGTTTATGTGCTACATAAAAGGTAAAAACTATATACACAGGTAGTACAATGAAGCAAATAAGGAAAAACCTAATTGCACAATGCTACATCCAATGCTTTTAGAGGCAGATCATTTAAGAGTGCCTAAAAATTTAGTGTTATTGTGTTGTTGCTTTTCAGTGCTTATACAGGATGTCCATTCCATGGAGTCAGCGATATGTATTAACTTTTTCATTATATCTTCCTTGCTTCATCAAGCAGTGATGTATCTGATGAACAAGGAAACACATCCTTCGTTCTGCAAAGAGAAACAAAGAATTAGGGGAAAACACTAGAGCAACATTATGAATAAAGCACAGGAATTATTTTGTCACTGTCTCAGTTAGAAATTCCTAAGGAGGAGGGGGGCATGTACTAAAAGATGATTATAGTAATCTACATCCAATGTTCCCTTAACTGGGTTTTTACCCTCTTCTGCATTGTGCACTTTTTCTATATCAGTGGTTCTTAACAGTGGGCAATTTTGCCCCCAGGGGACATTTGGCAATGTCTGGAGACAATTTTGGTTGTCACAACTGGGAGTAGTGGGGAGGCCAGGGGGTGAGGGGGAGGTGATGGTACTGGCATCCAGTGGGTAGAGGCCAGGGATGTTGCCAAACATTCTACAATGCACAGGGCAGCCCCCACAGCAAAGAATGCTCCAGCCTAAAATGTCAATAGTGCAGAGGTTGAGAAACTGGTGTCGAGAATCCGGGTCAAAGATAAGTAAAAGAAAATAACCTATAGTAGTTCAGAGTAACATGCTCTAAATTTGAAAAATAATTGAAAATATAACCCATAAAAGCCTTTCACAAAGGGATTTTAGTCTTTTTTTTTAAGTGAGGGTAAATATTCTAATTTCTTATCCGTAGGCAGGATATACACATGAATGCTTTTGAATAGACCCTCGTGATTATTTCTAGTGCTTTTTTAGACTGGTAATATTTACTAACGAATGCCTCTCTGCTTGTTAGACTGTAGCCAGACCAAGATTTAGTCTTTCTGATTCCCTGTGGCTGCTCTGATAAGGCAGGCCACAAGTCACAGGCCAAGCTGTAGGCATGATCAGGAAAAATGTTTATCCCATTTTCCAACTTCATATAAGCTGTAATTTAAAGGCTTTTCTAAGATTGCTTTGCATGAGCCCTAAAAATCATAGGTATGCGGAGAAGTCATATAGATGGCGTGATAATTTAATTTTATATTAATTTCTTGTTAAAGTTTTAAAAAATAATTTTTAAAACTACTATCAACATCTTTTCTAATCTTTTTATATGTGAGGCTCTAAGTGTGTTTAGGGGGAGAAATAAAGATCAAAGTCCTTGTTTTTAAGTTTGTGTAAACTATTAAACAATACAGTCTGCTCATTATAGATAACCACTTCACATTAACTAGAGGCTAAATTATCGAAATTGGCTTTTCACACTGAGCAGATTTTAATAAATGGCGAAAAATTCCACTTCTCTGGTGCCTGGTAGACTTACCCTCACTCAGTCAGCCCTGATGTACACGAACCATTTCCCCTACAAATATCTAAATGGTCCTGGTAGAGCCCGATAGTACACATGCTGACGTGTTCCTGGATTGCTTACTGCAGCAGAGTTCGTGTAACTTCTGCTTTACCACTCTGGTGTGTGATCAGGGGAACTTTCAGTATTTTTGAGCTTTCACTTTGGTGTTTTTTTTAAATGCTGGTTCCTTCTCTCCTAGTTTATCAGAAACCGGGACGTGGCGATCTATGAAAACAACGACGATAAAAGAACACCACATGCCACCCTATAAACATTTCTGGCCCCTTGATGAACCAAATGAGCTAAATGTGAGCATTTTGTACCTGACTTTCCCCTCAATTTTGGAAGGTAACCATTTATGGGCCCTTTTGCTCCACATGGCCTCAAAATTGGTGACTGAGGCCACTTGGACTTCTGAGACAAGAATCCTCCTCCAGGGAGGCTGAAACTTACCCTAAATCCTCTTCCGATGGGGAAAGGGCCTATTGTTCCCCACAAGTTTTGGTGGAGCTCACAAAGAAATGACCTTCCTACTGATGGGGCCTGGCCTACAAATGCCTGCCTGGGACACTTGGTCCCCTTGGGTGGTGTGCTGCTGTATACGGTCTCGGGGCGTGGAAACGAAAGAATTCCACTAGCCTTCCCGTGCTCCCCGAGCCTGCGCCGTTCCTACTTCTTGGGCCTCACAAAAATATCAACACAAACCCCCACAAGAGCTCCTCATGTGCCAGCACGCAGTAAGATCAGGTATCTAGGGGTTTTCACGCCCACGGGTTCCTGCAGCCCAGGTTAGCGTGTCAGTTGTTTGCTCTTAGTAATCAACCCACCAGCCAGTTTACGTTTGACGTCTTCTGAGGCCCGGTTTCTTGGGCGTCTGCTCCACTGAGCCAGCATTCGGAGAATCTTCTGAAACATTTTCTTCTGTTCTGTTGGCTCTTTTGTTTTGAGCAGAGGAATCTACAGACAAGAGGAATTTAAAAGAAAAAGAAAACACACACATCTTTATTAGAAAAACAATGGCCCAGAGGAGTTGGCCCGGTCGCCAAGGGATGAAAAACCCACCACCTCTACCCACAACCCTAAACCCATCAACACCAGTGCCCTTTAAGTGCACAAAATCAGATTGTTTTCACAGAACAGAAGGCGTATTCTATGCCCCAAACCTCTCACAGCCCAGAGGGGGGCCGCTGGTCAGCATCTCTTGGCTGCTAAGTTTTAAGTTGGGGGGGCAATAATTGGATAAAACCGTCTCCAGCTTCTGGTTTTAAAAATCAGCAGGGCAGGAGTCGGCAGGTAACATTTAATGCCCAAGATTAGGAAACCCCGCGCCCTACAGAAGCTAAATCGGAATATTGCTGAAAAGAAAATGAAGGTGATGACCCTTGAAACAAACAAGCAAAGTGCTGCCCCAGACAGACATAGATGTGTTTGCAAAGGTCATTACCGTCCGCGGCAGGTCGCTTCCTCAGCCCGGCGCACTGCTCCGCTAACCCCGTCTGGCTGTCTGATGTATCAGTCTTTGGGTCTGCCAAATGTGTGTCCTCTGGGTTTGCCTGGGACCCGAGGGCAGGCAGCGCCTGGCGGTTCCCGTTGGCATCCTGGCTCTCCTGGGGGGGCACCTTGCTGCCGCCTTTGGGCGGCCGCGGGGGTCTGTAGTAAAATTCGGGCAAGCTGCCCTTTTCCATCTCTTGCCACTCGTATTTCCCCTCCAGGGGCTTGTGATTCTGGAAATCAAAATTCCACTTGCGCTGGCTGGCCTCTTCCATGTCTCTGCAGTGCTTCTCCAAGTCTCGGGTCAACTCTTCGTGATTCACCGGGCCGAAGAGGTTTCTGCAGGCGGAAGGCTTGGGGTACTCCGCCTGTCTGGCGTCCATCCGTTCCAGGCTGGGGCTCCCGTTAGACACTCGCACGTTTGACATCTTCTTCCCGAGGCTGGACTGCCGCCTCGCTCTCGCCCGCCCGCCCGCTCGCTCGCAAAACAAAACCGAACAAAACAAAACGCCCCGAACCAACCCAGCCCAGCCCCCTTTTATAAGCTCTGCGACTGCCCCGGGAGCCAAGAGAAACAGACAGCGACAAGTAACTGCCCGAGCTCCGGGAGCGCAC